ATATATTTAATTGTACAAACTGGCATGCTACATAATCTTGTATTTCGTAGTTAAATGAACTTAACTAAACTATCCATTTTTCTCGTATGTACTGTGTATAAAAATCGGTATAATGAGTCGCATAGAAATAGTCAGTTCACCTTATTTGACATTAAGTGGAAAAAACCGTAAAGCACATCATTCTAAAAACGTGAGAGATTCGTTTTCAAAGATTTGGAGTAAATTTCGTATATCTGATCCGAAGGGTGTTTTTTTTTAATGGGGTCGTGGATTATATTGACATAAAAAATGTTAATCGAATTTAGCATTTCCAACTATGCGATAGGACTAATATTTTAATCACAGTGAAAAGTCTACCATTCAGAAAAATTCCGAAAACTTTCAAGTTATTGTTCCAACCTATTGTTAAGCAGCATTTGTAACTTCCACTTCAACAGTTTGTTACCCTTAACTGTCGTTTAAAATGTCCAAAACTTTGATCGAAAATCTGCTTGCTCTCTGACTATACTATTATAAGATGTACAGGGTGGCCATAATTGAAGTGTAAAATCTATTTCTGAAGTAGAGGAGCAAAATCGGTTTACATGTCAAGGTCTCGATTTTTTTTAAGGAGACACATTTAATCGTTAAAACCGCTCGACGCTATAATTACAACCACCCTGTACAGCAAGTAGTGGCGAATTTAACATATAATTTAATCTACAAATATCCACAACAACGAAGCATGACGGGACTGCAATTTAGGGAGAACTATACAATGTCGTTACAGTCTACTTGATTGTTTGAACATCTAAATACAAAACAAATATCAAAATATTCACGTCTATTAGCTTCGTAAGCCCGGCTGTGGTGAGCTCTATTAAACTTATAATTCAAAAAGCTAATCATTTTTTTCTAAACTTTCCCAAGCTGCGGGTCATGCTTTATGTATAAAGGGTTCTAAACCATGGAAGAGAACTCTAAAATTGGTCTCACTAGTGATTTGTAGAGTGTAACAACAGCAGTAACTGACCCAAAATCCTTCGCCATAAGATATACGAAACCAAGAATCCCTATGGCTTTCGCAGCTATTTTATCTATGTGGCCCTCAAATGCCAATTTAGAATCTAAAAAAGATATTCTGATACCCCCAATGAGAAGATCTTTTCTTGGTGGTGCGTGAGAAAGTTATTTTGTTGAAGCAAATTCTTCCCTCGCCGTTTTTAAAATATTGTTATTAGTTTTTATTTTTTTGTTACAACAATATATTAGAAACACCTGTGTTACTTGAATGGCCACTAGCTTAATCTACCAATTTTTCTACCAAATATTAAATATTGAATTCAATATAAAAAAAAAAGAAATAAATTATGTTAGAGATTAGTTATTTAACATTGACGTTTAAGTTGCAAAAGCGTCACTCTGTAAAGTGAACAGCTAAACGAAAGGATCGACATAATCGTTCAGTCTCCTCAATTCAGCGATGGAGGAAAAAAAACAAAATTCATTTGCACTCATTACTAACATGTTTGTTCGACGTTTTCAAATAGTTTATTTTTGATTTTTATTAATTGCACAAATGTTTTGTTGTATACATTAATAAAGAATCGTCAAGTTTGTGGAATATTATTGTTGATTTATCGACAAATACCATTTGCACCCATTGACGAAGACTTTTATCTACATTTTACGTATTGTTTATATAAATTGTAGCCTTAAGTAAAAAATGTCACCGAAACTGAACCCTAATTGACTCTGCGTACCCGTACTCCATAAACGTCAAATAATGATAAATTTCTCTTCCAGTTTATGTACGATATTAAATCTATTTGATTGTCCTATAGTATTGCGGGCCATCTAGAACGAAACACCAACCTCAAAGGAGAGATATATATATACATATAATGTAGACTGGCTGAGGAGTTTCCCATAAAATTTTTATGGCACCTGGGAGGATCGTTTGAGTTTTAGAGCTGATATATTCTGGCGTTCCGTGTACAAGATTCGTCAAATCTCGTCTTGCGTTTAGGTGACTTTATTTATGCAGATCTGTCTGCTTTACGGTCTCTTTTTATTTAGAAGCACGTCGGAGCAACCTCATATCGTAATAAACACAGGGATTATTGCTTCAACACATGTTCTTCCGTATTCAATTTTTTTCCTACCCGCTCCATAAAATCCGTTTATTTCTATTTCCTCGTATGCCGCTATTTGGAAAATTCCTCGTACAGCTTTCGTCTCGGTCTACTTCTAAATGTAATAAAAATCGCAAAATTTACTGGAAATAAAGTGGGTATCCCCAATTACGATCCACGGGAATGGGAAGATTGTCTTCATTAATCATGGGCTCTTTAAAGCTGTTTACCAGTTGCCATTATTTAAAGTTCTTCAGATAGAAAATGTAGACGTTAGTCAGGAGTAATAGGCAATAACGTTGTTGGGTTGTCTGCAATTTGTGAAAGCTCAAAAATCAAAAATATTCATTTTTAGATGATAGTTCGTATAGGAAATTTAATGTGTTTTATATAGTTATAAATAATGTACTGTGCTTTCAATATATCTTGATATCATTTTAATTGGCTGTAACTTTTTTGTTTTTAGAGATATCAAGGTAAACAGAAAACCAAAATGTATTGCTAGTAGCCAAGTTTTTTCCAAGTGACGTATAAAACAAAACGCTATGTATTATATATGTGTTTAATAGAATATCTTATTCCGATTACATTGATTGATTGATAGACTTTATATTTTAGTCCACTCGTTTTTGACAAATCGGCAAAATTACAAAAATTTTATGTAATTTTAAAGAGACTGACAACTAAAATATGTTTACATTTGACATATTAGTAAACAACGTTGATGGTCGAATTATTGTCCAAGTTATTATTGTTAAAATTGTTTTTCGGGAATTCAGCATCCGTGAAAGGAGTGATATGCTTGAACTATACTTTCTGAATAATATAAGTGCAACCGCAGCTCGTCGTCAGTATATTAGACCTTATCCAGAGCGCCGAGCTCCTTCAAAACAGATATTTCCAAGGCTGACAAAGAAATTTGCAAAAGAAGACAAGGCAAATATATTAGGATTCTATGAAGCCCATCCAGTTTCCTTTATTACTGGAATATATGAAGAGACAGATATTTCTCGGGGATCAATCCACTCAGTTTTGAGAGAATATAAATATGTTGCATTTAAATTTCGTAAAACTCAAAAACTAAGTGCAGAACAATGTCAAAGGAGGATGCAGTTTTGCTAGGATTTTTTAAATAGACCTAATGAGACAAACATTTTATGGACTCATGAAAGTTCGTTCACTACAAGAAAGGGTAATGATAATAGACAAAATACGCGATATTAGTCCATAAATAATCCTAGACATATACACGAAATAAGAACCCAGGAGTACCAATCAATTAATGTATGGTCATAGAGATGATTATTTGCAACTCTTGGAGCACCAAATAGAACAATAAGTATATATCAGCGCTAATTATATGACAGCAAGTCGGTGGCCCTCGTCACAATGTTGTGCAAGTTAAAAATTTTCTTAACATGGAATATCCCAGAGGTTGGATAGGGAACAGCGGATCTATGGATTGGCCAGCCAATAGCCCCGACTTAACGTTAATGGATTCTTTTGGGGACGCATAAAAAATCACGTGCACAGAACTCCGTGTAAGAAATCAATTAAGAGAAAATCCGGAAGGGTGTTCATGAAAGTGGTGGTCACATAATAGTTAAAGAATTTGTTACTTTAGTGAGTCTTGTCATTTTTAGTGGTTTTGCTCTACTTTAATTTGTAAATAATTATTGTTGTTGCAGTCAGTCACGGCACTCTTTGAAATTATATAAAAATTTCTTATTTTTTCCGATTTGTCAAAAACAACTGGACTAAAATATAGAGTATTTACATCAATGTAATCGGAGTAAGATACTCTATTAAACACATATATAACATATAAGGTGTTCCATATAAAAAATATGATGTAGGCTTATATGTCAGAACATTGATAGTATTTTGTTTTATACGTCCCTTGGAAAAAAAATTGGCTACCAATCCTACATTTTGTTTTTTGGTTTACCTTGATATCTCCAGAAACAAAAAAGTTACAGCCAATTAAAATTTTATAAAGATAAGTGGAACGCACTGTACTGTCAAGAATGTGATTATTAAGGCCTGTTTTTAAAATTTAAAAATATATACATAGATAAAACGAAGTCCTCGCCTGTTAATGGATTTAGAATTCTATGGTAGATTTATTTTATAGCTCGACACGAAGAATAAAATGGCTACCGGAAGGACTCTTATAGTCAGCAGCGACTAAACTAAAATTTTATTGTTGGACATCTTTTAAAACGGCATTATGTGAGTCACTATTCATTTTTCCCTTAATTTTTGACAATATTGGGATACCGTTTTGGGCTATGAAATTAATCTTTTTTTCTTGCTTTCCAGTGTGCACACGATCCTGAAATTTAATGAATCCCCATACGAGTATAGTTTGATTAATATTTACTTAGCTGTACACGCAAACTTGAACTAAACCAACTTACCTTAAATATTCAATATGTTTGAAAACTGCGCTACGAGCGTTACAAACTATTGTTAAAGATTTGAAAAACAAAACCCTATAGTGAACTACACATCATATATTGTAAAAATATAACGTATATGTCAGATTGTCAAGTAAATGAACAATATAAATAAAAAAATATTTTGTTGCATTTGATTATAGTTCGAATTATTGAAACACATTTCAATTGCCAACAGCCTGCAATATTATTTTTGGTATATCGGAGCATCATAGATTTCTTTTTATCAGCTTAAATTAATGTTTCAAACGGAATTAATAAAATACCTCCATAAATACTATTTTGGTTATTTATTTAATTTTGGGAAATACAAAAATAAACAAGCCACGCGGAAAATAATTTCCTAATCAACAGTAGGAATATAAAATATAACATTAAAAAAAAGAACATTAATTTCAAAACTATAATGATCCCTAATCATAAATTTAATAATATAATGAACTTTTTTTAATTAATTTTAATTTTGTTTTTTTCTTTATTTATATAGTTCATTTTAAGGAAAATTCATTTAAATTCTTGCTAATTTGTGAATGTTAAAAGGACATTGTTTGTCAATACAATTATTTTGGAAAAATCTATTTCTTTAATTCTTAATTGCTAATTTGTTAGTTTTGGTTTTCATTTTTTCCATGCCAGGTAAATTAAGCTATCAGTAATCTATATATAACGTATTCTCTAAGGAAATATTCATAATTTTCTCTATGGCTTAGCGATTACGCGATTTTTATTACGATGTCATATAGTAGACGCCAACAAGAAGATGTATTTTGGAAAATATTTTCTGTTGCTGACAAGTTATAAGTGAAACAGCCAGAATTGCATTTCGCTATAAACTAGTTTTTCGGGCTTTTACGTTTAATTTCCGTAACCTGGTCGTAGACATCGGCATCTAGCTGTGATGACTCCGGGGTTGTTGTTAAAAACGGACCGCCTACCGATTCACCAGGTTTAAGCAAAGCGACGCCGTCAGTTCCCATCCTCATGCAATCAAAATGCAGGATGAGTACAGTTGCCCCCTGGATCCTAGTTTCGAAATCGAAACACATATGCAAGTTTTGTCCGGGCGTATGTATATCAAACAATTTCGCACAAGTCTCCACTTGGATCGGAATGTAAGGTATCGGCACCGGAATGCATAAAGGTGGTGGATTCTTCGCTGAAATAGAAAACATTAATTTTAAAAGGTGTCACGTGCGGCATTTTGGCGAATTTTTACATCTGTGTCGAATTTTTGAATTCCTTTTTTTTATTTCTTTATCATTAAAAGAGGTGCTCGTGAGAAGTTAATTTAAAAAGATGTGGATTGCGTAGCATTTTTTGTTTCATCCAGGGTATTCAGTGATAATTGGGACGCATTAAATGTATAAGTATAATACTTTAGTAGTAGTGATAAATTGTTTCGTACAAAAGTTTCTTGGACTCTCCTGAAGATTTAAAATATTATAATTTTGTTGAAACAGGGTGTCCCAAAAGTGTCACCCTGACATCTTTATTATTTTAAATGGAACACTTTTTTAACAAATTCTTATTCGAATTTTGCATAGTTTAGTCAGAAATTGAGGTTAGGTGTTTTTTTTTGTGTAACATTTTCATTACCCCGTATAAAATTGTGTTATGACGCTACTGATCCAGGTATTGCAACGAAAATTTAACCACAGACTACGGAGATGATGCACTACGCAACCAGTTTGACAGACGCGCCTCAGATTATACAGGGTGTCCCAAATAGGTGGTGCCGTTTTGCCGAATTCAATTAACAAAAGCTTATATATTTCTATTCAGATGTCAATTCTAGGACAAAAAATAAGGTAGGTTTGTAATTTATCTTATATTTAAATTTTCCTTACTTTTTCAGATATTCGAGGTTTAAGATAACACCCGTATAAATTCTTGTTAAATTTAAAGCTGGCCACATTAGGCCACATTAGGTATTTTTTAAATAGCAAAGATACGAACAAAACTTATTGCTAACAATACAGGGTGTCCATTTAGTACGTGGCAATTTTGGAAAAAATTTAGATTAATAGGTTAACCAAAAAAATATAACTTATCTAAAATACATATAAAATATATACTAACAAAAAACTTTACAACTATCAACTTTTTAAATAGAAATATGAAAACAACAAAAACAAACAGAAATGTCAAAGTTTGTTTATACCTTAATGCGTAAAAAAAAGATTGTGATGTCATAGCCAACTACATTTTTAAATATTTTGATATTTCTTTGTTGTTTTGATGCCAGATGAAGTGAACATTTTAGGAGGAACATTTTTAACTAAACTTTATGGACCGAATTGACGAACGCTTTTTGGTTAACTTCTTTTTTATAGATTAATTTATTGAAATTTGTTACCTTGGTTAGTTATCCTATAAACTTTAATTATTTATTTTTGTTATTAGGTATTTTCAATCAAGCTAGATAATTAACTATTTTAAATGTTTCTTTAAATATGAATTCTGAAATTTTATTAAATCTGTATTGTCAGCGATAAGTTTGACTGGTATATCTCGAGTATTACATTTTTAAAAGTAGTAGTATCGTGTCTTTGCTATTTAAAAAATATCTAATATTGCCAGCAAGTGACCTAATGTGTTATCTTAAACCTCGAATATCTCTAAAAGTAAGTAAAATTTAAATATAAGATAAATCAGAAACTTACCTTATTTTTTGCAGAGCATCACCCTCTAAGCTGAGGCACATTTGTCAAACTGATTAAGTAGTGCATCATCACCTTAGTCTGTGGTTAAATTTTCGTTGCAATACCGGGATCAGTCACAATTTTATATGGGGCAATCAAAACACATAACCTCAATCTCTGTCTAAAAAAAAATTGGAAATATACAGGGTGTTTCAGTAAAACAAAACAAAATTGATGGCGGAGGGGACACTTTTCGGACACCCTGAATTAACAAAATTATATTTATTATATTTATTTAATATATTTATTTAACATATTTATTTTATTTTATTATATTATATTATATCTTCAGGAGAGTCCAAGGAACTTTTGTACGAAACTTTTTTTCGTATCTCCTATGCTTTTCCAGTTCGTCTTATTTGGTACACGGAGTACATAAAAGATTTTTAAATTATTTCCAATATCCGAAAATATGTAAAAAATAATATATTTTAGTTCTTGCATATAAATATAAATGTTGTGAAGGAAAGAGCTTTTTAAATTCTGCCGTATACCAGTTATTTTTTATTTTCTCGATGATTGTTTTTTCTCCTCATTAAATTTTAATTAATCCTGGTGAGATAGTTGAATACAATATCGGAAGGACTACTGTCACATTTCAAAATTACAACTGGTTCTTGTGAAAATCTGAACGTTTTATTGAGGTTTTTACATTTTTCGTTTATTCATTAAAATGTAGTCAGTTAATTTTTATTGACTATCAATTGTAATATCTGATGCGCAGATGAGTTAGAATTTGAGTTCATGAAAGTCTAGACAAATGGGGGAATAGAAAATATTAATTCTAAAAGTTGTCACGAACAGACGTCGGGTGCCGATTGCTGAATTTTTGCAGTGTGTCTCGATTTCCCGATTCCCATTTTTTATTCCTTCTGCATTCCGGTTTAAATTGAGTAGTTTAGTTTGAGTATATTAGCGTAGGTGAATTCGATTTAGCGGTAGCATATCCGGTATGCTCAATTAAATTTTATGCGACGAAGTAAGAAGTTTGAAATGTTGTAAATCATAGGAATTTCAACGTCGACGAAAACTAACCAAAACACGAACCTTCGAAATTTTGGAGTTATGATTGGAGCAAGTTGAGTAAACCACAATTTCCGGCTTAATTATTGCTTGAAGTTAGGACTAGTTCACGGGGTAATAGATTTAATGTAATCGAAACACGTATAATGCAAGTGGGCATGCACGTGACACAACCAGAAAGAAACTCCGCCATTGTTGTGAATTTCTAGGTTTTTGCAATGGCGTTTGATATATCTTGGCGCTTGTATGATGGTATTGCAGAATAATAACCTTTTGTTCAGGTATAGATTTAGTTTACGATGTGCTATATATTATTTTAAGAATGTCAAAAGTTCGAATAATAAAATATTTTTAACGCTAAACTACGAAGGCATAGATGAAGTTTTATGGGATGGTGTAATAAAATATCCATTCTTTTAATGTCTTTGAAAATATATTGCGTATGGGGAAAGAAGCTACCTCCGGCCTTTAAAACTCAATAAAATGGGGATTTTTATTGACTATACACTTACTGCAAATATGAAGACACGGAATATGAATTAATAGCGGCAATCAAAATCCCCACACCGTAAGCGTGAGTTATGGAACAAAAAATCGTTCGAGATTTATTTTCGTTCATTTCAAGAATCCCAGGGGATAAACAAAATGTCTCCTTCATCTCCCTAAATTTATTTACTACATAGGGAAAGGAAGGCGCCAACTAAGGAGCTGACAAAAAAATTGAAACGGAATATAAAATATTTTCAAAATATGATTATTTTGATTCAAAAATCACATTAGGTAAGTAAAGTTTCCAGAAGTCTCAAAACCAGATAATAAAATATCTGCTAAATGTGTATTATTAATGATTTAATTTATTTCTATCATTTTTTTAAATAAAATAAAACAAGATAATAGCAATAATAATAATTAAAACGTTTAACCCGATTTCTCAAAAAACCATTAAGAAGGCAAAAAAAATTATTGATTGATATGAAACGACCTAAGTTTTAGAATAGACATTAACCCAGCAGAGATATCCACCCCAGTTCTATGTGTAAGATTATCCGTTTTTCACAAAAACTCCACATCTTTAAACGGGATAGTTCTAACCTCGCTATATAGAGTTTTATCATGGAAATTACATACAGTGCAAAGTTCAGTATTGTGAAGTTCATGCGCGCATTTTGCAAAGTGATTATTTCTTAATCTAAGTTGCTCTAGAATCCTAGTTGGGTGAAGTGGTAAATTAACAGTTCTGTTATAAAACATCGGGCCGTGAGAATTTGAAAGCAAATTTCTATTGCAATTTGCTTTGGGACTTTATCGGTGTCCATTGTAAGTAAGTTGACCAGAAAATTTAGACAAGTTTTAAGTATAGTCGCTTTTAAATGAGTTATAGCACACTCCAGTCGCAAGAAGAAGAAGTCCTAGATTTCGACATCATTAGGAAACGTTTGAACTGAAGTTACAGTCAAGCCTTGAAGAAGCCAACAGGATGATTGAAGTTTTATAAAAAAATATGGCAATAATACTATTAAAAATACGCTCTCCAAAAAATAAGTTTAGATATATAGAACCTGTGCGCTGTTGCGCTCTGCTTACAGAATATTCTGCCATGTCCCTAAGAAACGAAGAAGAAAAAGCAACTTCGAAATATTTATGTTGATTCATTACTTAACAGGATTGCTATTTAGAAAAAAGCACTACCCCGCCTAAAGGAAATGATTTTGGTTTTTGAGACATTATGACCAATATTTTCTAACAATCGCTCAAAGGCAAAGGCAAATGGCTGAAGTATTCTCGCATAAGATCTTCATAAGATTGATAAAGCAGAACTGACACCATAGTTCTGTAACTTGTGCCACAGTAAGTTATGACAGACAGAGTCGAAAGCTCTACGAAAAATTTCAAGTCCAAGTGCATTTCTGTATAATGCCGACAGCAGCATCCTTTGATAATACCGTTAGTCGGAAATTGTTAGAGTCTTTCTGTCTCCCATTGTAAAGAATGGTATCAAGCCCAGGAGACTAATAAATTTAAATTTTTCTGAGAACGGATTTAATTTCTTATATCGAGATGTCTGTATCGACAAGGCAGTCACGAGGTCCATAGCTACTCGAGGTGAATACGTTCCTGTCAAATAATAAATAAAGCACCAAACAGTATTCTGTAGACCGCCGATGTGAATCAATCGCTAGGCCCAGTCTTTTGGATTAATAATTGTCGTTTTTTCTATATAGTAAGTCAATTAGTTTAGATGAATGAACTAGATCAAGACATAAAAGGCACAGGATAACGTCACAGCAGGGCGGTCAACAAATTGTAGGGCAATTAAGGATTTTTATAACATATCCGTTTTAAGAGATATTTTGAGTTTGTAAAGGTTTATGGTTTTCGGTGTTCCCGTGAATTGCTTAGAGTATATTTGGTGATATACTATGGTTGTTGCAAATTCTGTAAACGCCTATTATTTGATTATTTGAAGGGCTCGTCAAAATAAATAAAGTCCCAACCCGTTTCGCTTTGGTTGTGAAAATTACTTTAAAATGAGCTGAAATTATTGCTTCCAAAATATTCATTTTGTTTCGTTAAGCTTTCAAACGGTGAATATCCGGAGACAGGAAAAATTGAAATTGTGAATATAAGAACACGTTTTGCTTAGTTGTATTCCTTTCCTCTTTTCGGATAAACCGATAAAAGAAAGAGGAACAGAACAATTACTTAAATCTTACATTGTTGCTGCACTCGGCTGAATCATTTGTCATATGTAGTAAAAAACGTTTTTGTGACTTAGGGGTCTGGAATTTGTTGGACCGTTATTCACTAAAAATAAAAAATAATAAGGGGATGTAATGAATTGATTGTCAATTTTATCGAGTGGGAAGCAATATTGGCTCTTATCGCGATGAAATATTTATCAGATTTTTATCGTTATCACGTAAAATATCCCCCATTACAACCCTTACTCTCGAACAGGCTCTATAATACCATTTTGCGTGGCTTTATTGCTTCGCTATTGTAGATTTAATAAAGATAATGAAGCTTACGTAGCGCGTGATAAATCGCTCCAATAAAATCTTGGTTCAAGTGTTAATGGCCAATCGGCAATAGAATTAATTAAACAAAACATGCCTCGATAAAACGTAACAATCAACAAGCGGAACAACAGCAAAACAGCCAACCCTAGACAGAGTCGAAAACAATAAATAATTAAACACCGTCTGGAGGGGAACAAAAACTTTTTTGCTTCGGTATCCAACGCAGCCGAACGCTCGAACTGAATTTCTAAGTTTTATTTAAAATTCCGCGTTGTTTTAAAAATACTTACCGGAAAATGAATTGGTGAATACTGTATTTTCATCCATAATCATTTCCATTGTTACGGCGAACTCTTGTGGGTCATATGTAAAATTCATGCAACCTGAAAAATCGCAAAAATCTCTGTTAACGTTTTGCCGAAATCAAATATTGCGTCGTAAAACACTTTGTTTTCGTTCGTCCGATGCACGTTTGAAATTTACTTGCGATGGCTTGAGATCCGGTCCCGTTTCATTTTAATATTTAGATCGCGTTTATCAAATAAATAAAGACCTCCCTCGGGCGCAGGCTGTGAGATTTTTTTTTATTCCCTTTTATTCGTGGAATACTATAAGAGTCATCGCTTTAAATAGAAACGATATTTTAAGTTTTGCCGCCTAAAAGTTATAACATTCGGTTATAGTCAAATTAAAGAACCAATAATACTTGCAAAGGTCGTACACAAAAAATGCTTCTAAAAGCTCCATTTTGGTGCCACTTTTATACTGTATATGTAGGTCCGCGATTTCTAGTTTTATACACCATTTCAAAACCCAAATGTATGCAGATGATACACAAGTTTATTACTCATTTTCGGGAGATAAAATTTTGGAAAGCTGTCAAATCATAAATAATGATCTAGAAATCATTAACAGGGTGTCCCTAGAACATTCACTCCACCTAAATCAAAAAAAATCTGTAGCAATGTCCTTTGGTTGGTCAACTAGTTGAAATAAAAATATCGAATGTGTGCATTTCTCTGAAAACCGAGGCAAGAAACCTTGGGCTTATGCTCGACAGTAAGCTAAGATTTAATGGTCACGGACAGCAATGGACTCACTTAAAATGCTTATATGGTACTAAAAATATTTTAAATCAATCATTAAAAAAGGTCCTGTGCGATTCGATAGTTTTATCTTCTTTTAACCACTGCTGCCTCAGAACGGATTCAAAAAATCCAGAAATACTATCTCAGATTCATTTTTGGGATTAAACGCGGCAGGCCTGTTAATCATAAAATGAAAGAAGTACGATGGCTTAATATCGACGATATCTCCATAAATTTAATCTCTATCACAAAATTATAAGATTGAAGTCTCCACGCTATCTTTTCAGAAAAATCAGCTTTCGCAAGGACGTTCACAATTTAAATTTAAGATTTAAAGGCCTGCTCACCGCTCCAAGTAACACCTCTGGAATTTTTGAAAGATCCTTTATATATGACATGGCTACAATACCTAATGCATTGGATCAGTTTCTTAAATTGCTTAACAATACATTTTCCACACACCTGCGTGAAGCATTATTATCATATATTTAAGTAAACTATTTCCAAATTGTAAGTCCTTCTATTTGCACAGATCGTACTAAGTATTTATTTTTTTATGTGTATTTTTCCTGCCTAGCACTGCTACCTTCTTGTTAGGATAGGTTTAAAAACGGAGGCTCAAAATATCTTATTTTATTCATATGAACCGTGTGCTTTTCATTGTATATTAATGCGTGAATAAAAATTATTTAATAGTAGCTTGGAGCTTTCGAGATGCGAACGCTGCACAGTATATTGAGAATTCCACAGACAGATGAAATCTGGAGGTAGCTGGATGGAAAGCCTCGCTGATCACTATAAAACAGAAGAATGTCATCATTAGAGAGTACATGAAGAAGTTATTCAATTGATTCCACCTTACATCTTGTATGTGTAGTGCTGGGACTGGTCAATTGACAACTTCTTAATTGACTAGTCAAATTCGATTAAAATGTCTTGCAACCGTAGAGTGTTATCTATCGTTATTTAATAATGATATATATTTTATAATAAATTATTATGCGTTTGTGATGTCCAATTTACCCATAACCATCTTCAAGGAAAACCCATATACGATATTTAGTACAAAAATTATAGACTAAAAAACAATTCAAGAATTTTTTTGAAATATATGGGGCGATTATTAGATAGTTGGGAAACCAAACTTATATATTTTTAAACGGTACACCCTGTATATTACTGCATTAGTGGGTACTCCCTTTCATACGCAATCACGCAATATAAGGTTCTTAACAAATAACACACCTGACACAGAGATCTGAATTATGGCAAATAGAAATAAAAAACAGTGCCAAATATTTTGGCATACTACTACAGCCACCTGAAATGGGATAGTCATACTCAGACACTAGTTTAAAAAAAAAACAGATCCCGAGTATATATTTTTAAGCAAACGAGACAAATAATTTCAATAAAAGAAAATATTTCCTTATACTTTGCGTTGATCTTGTCACTTTCACTATACGGTATTATCCATTAGTTACATAGTAATAAATTATATAACATAAAGGAAAAATATGTAACAAAAATATAACAAATTATCAAAGAAAAATTCTAATAGAAATATAAAACCACTTTAAGTACGTAATCGTGATAATTAAGGAGGCGACTGTTCTAGTTTTATTTGTACTACTACATTCCTGGTGCCCAGAGTAGCAAACAACTGAAGAATATTAAACGATAACACTCTTAATAGGGTTGCAACAGAAAAGCTATCTCAGTGGAAATAAAAAATTGCCTTGTAGAGTGAGGCTCCTCTTAGCACCACATACTTCAAAACCATCTGTATTTAGTAAATTCTGTTACTAAGGTAAATAATAAAAACAATGTACTATACGATAATATGGCCCAAGTATTAAGGACCGCATTGAGCGGCCAGAGTCATCAACATACTTATCGCAGGTATTTTCATAAATTCAAGTTTAATTTCAATTAAATAGAACATGGAATGACTAAAAAGTTGGTTGATATAATACCAATCGGCTCAAAAAATTAGCGCGTTTTTGATAACTATTTGCGCATTGTAAGGTACATTCGACCGTTGTCGACGCTATTTGCGACAGCTGTAATTTTATTATGTCAACAATTTTATAAAGTAGTACAGTCATACTATACTTATCTTGAAGTTAGTTCGAATCCTTTATATAGGATGAGTCAAAGTAAATATTAATTTTATTGAATAAAACAAATGTATATTATACGTCCATTAATTACTCCTATTAATGCTCTTTCAATTTCATTAAGCATTCCCTATACCTAAACTTAGTATATTTGACGTATACAGATTTTTACCAAGAAAACTCCGAAAATTTGTCTAAGTATCGCAATAAGCCAGGAAAAATATAAACAAAAAGGTCAATTTTTAATTTCGTGAAAAATGTTTCCTCCATTCCATTTATTCCATATTACTGAAGTGTAAATAATATTTTCACGTTGCAAATGTAAATTGGCCATGCAAATAATTAATTATTTGAAACCTGTCAATTTTGTATTAGATTTCCAAACGAAGTGACGCAGAGAACGTGGTTCCTTTATAATCGAGCTGCTGCACACCATGCCCAGCAAGTTACGAACTACTTAAATAATTTAGGCCATCCCAGTCCTGATCTAACAAAGATGGACTATTTTCTGCGGCAATATGTTAAAGATCAGGTTTATAAAGCTGCCCGTACGACAAAAGACGACATGAAATAGAGGATAAGGAGAGTCAAATGCTAGCGAATTCTGCCCAACCAACTAGACTAGAACGTGTATCGAAGTCGAGCAATAAATAAAGTGAGACTTAATTAAACAGTTCTTTTTTGTTTTGAAGTTTTGTCCTTAGTTTTTAAGTGCTTTTTCTGAAATTATTAGCAATATTAAAATTTCATTTTTAACATCATCCGTAGCGTAAAATGCTGTTTAAATTGTTTTTCTAACGTTGTTCAGTTCATAATTTTCCTTTTGTTTAAATCTCGGGTTTTATCAATTATTTCCGCATTAAATTTTGTATTAATCGGCAACGTCGGTGTTAAAAGTGTAGGGTATTTTTGGCAAAAAAATGGCCATAATAACCCTACATGGGGTGATTGAGTATAAAAGCGAGTATCTATTAATTCTATAATATACAGTTTCATTAAAAATATAAAATTGATTTGCCACATACTTATGAATCAACCTGTATATTTCTATAATTTTAAATTGTTTCTTTTCATCTCACCTATAACTTTCGTATTTAAGATTTTTCTCTATAACAAATAATAAATGAATATTAATATTACTTTGACACTATATATAAAATAAAATGCAATTCCACCACGGTGGATTCGAATTTATATTTTTCCGTTATGCATTGTCTAACTGCAGTCACGACTGGCTCGGGGAGGTCGGGGAAGCGGGATGCCATTACTACTGGGTATTTAATTAACATTGAATAGGGGTCGGTCGGTCGGTATTATTTTTCATCCTGAAGGCGCTCTGCACCGATACGTCTGGAAAACTTTTTCGAGATAAAAGAACATACTTTGCGGACGACAATGCTTTATTCAGACTGCGTGAAAAGTTTTACAAGTTCCGCGACTCTATTACGACACCGCCTTTAAGAGAAAATTGGTGAAATTTTGCTTCGTATAAGAGCCGTTTCTTTTCGAAATTAATTCCCGCACCTGAGGCGCTGAATTCAAGACTAGTTTCGGGATCAACTTTTTTATAATAATAAGTATGTTTGCTGAGGGGCTGCTCATAATTTCACTTTTGCGCTCGTTTTGATTTGTCGAGATATCTCGAGGGTAACGTCGAAATAGCTTTAGCCACGTCTTCGTTTAATATTTACAAAATTCGCGCTCTATTTAGTGATTGTTGCCCGTCGAATAAAGAACACATGAGGTGATTTTGAATCTCTGCTCGGACCGGCAAGTGAAAATAGCGCCAACCGAAGTGAAAGCTCATTAATTTTATTTCAAGAGAGGGTGGAAGTTGATTAATTCGTTCCACGAGTTTACCCTAAGAGATTTTCGGCTATGCATGAAACAGGTCCGTTATATGCTAAGTTGGGGAAGCTTTATTAAGAAATCTACACCGATTTATGCATCGGTTGCGTAATTATGACCCGTTATCCAATTAACTTTCAGTCCAATCCGGATATAGAGTAACCCGAGGGGGATTTCAAGTAGTGGATCTTTGTAAACTAAGTTACCGCCTCTACTGGAAATCACCTTAAGAATTACAACTAACTACCATCCGATTTATATTAATTACCACTGCATTTGCAATGAAATAGCTTAAGTAACGAGTGAAAATTTTTTAATTGTTTATTT